TGACATTTAAAACTGGGTAACAAATGACTTGTTTTGCTCTTTTTGCTGATTGCAGGTTAATAACACTGATGCAGAGGGCAGGCTTACACTTGCAGATGCTTTGGTATATGCTTGCAACCAAGGTGTTGATAAGGTAAAGCCAAACAGTGCATGTCCTGTATTTGTGATGATGATTAAAACATGATACTGTAGATTGATTAATCTGTGTGGATAATTCGAATTATACTCTAAGACTAAGTTCACTTATTTGCAGATAGTTGATCTGGCAACACTGACCGGGGCCTGTATTGTTGCTCTTGGACCCTCAATTGCAGGTACATGCATGGCATTTTATTCTATAATTCCTGGAAATAGTTTGGAAACTTGAATGCGTCTTTTTATTAGTTTTGGAAACTTTTTTTTTGTTATTTTTTAATTGTCTGGATGAGAATTAAATTAGGGGATGATATCTGAATGTTTTACACGCTTAATCACACATATATGGTATAGGGTCAAATACAAAGAATTTCATTCTTAACATGTAAACTCCATTCTCGATTCTAGTCTATTTGGAAGCGTGTTGCATTAATCATTTCCTCGGTTGTTACTCGATTGAAACCACAAGTTCCCACTACTTTCAGTTCATCAGAAATGTTTTTCCTTTCAGGCGTCTTTACACCGAGTGATGAACTAGCAAAGGAGGTATTTGAAGCTTCAGAGATCAGTGGCGAGAAATTTTGGAGGATGCCACTAGAGGAAAGCTATTGGGAGTCGATGAAATCAGGAGTCGCCGATATGGTAAATACCGGTGGTCGTCAAGGTGGTGCTATCACTGCAGCTCTGTTCTTGAAACAGGTAAGTAATCGACATTTTTATCTGCATTGTACGCATCCCCGAATATCCCAATCCTTTAGGCACATTGGTTGTGAAACTCAATTGTTGAACCATGATTTCGCAGTTCGTCGATGAAAAAGTACAATGGATGCACATTGACTTGGCTGGCCCTGTCTGGAACGAAAAGAAGCGTGTTGCAACTGGCTTCGGCGTCTCGACTTTGGTGGAATGGGTGCTGAAAAACTCTTCTTAAATGAAAAAAGCTTGGACCATGCTATGGTGGTGACAACTATAATGATGGGAAGAAAGAAAAAAAGGATTAAACCCTTTGTGAATTGTGAGTTAAGAATAAAACATATTTGCTGATGATGGGAAAGGAGGACTGGCTGGATTTTCTTCTTTTATTGAGATTGTTATATCAAAATCATAGAACTAAATGCTTTTTCAATTGGAAAAAAATGTATTAAATTGAGCTTAGATGTTTATAGAATTTGATTAAGTGAAGAACTTGGATAAACATAGACCTAAAAGTGTTGAAATCAAAGGACAATAATGTGTTAAAAAGGAAGACTTCTTATTGTTACAAAAGGAACTTTTAGGCACTAGCAATTGTCTTCCACAAGGGCCTATTCTCCCTATGCAGAGGCTGTTTTACTTACAATGCCGGTTATTAAGTAAACAGTGAATGAGTTCCAACTTAATCATACTTATTACCTAATCTAGAGTTTGATAAATGCCCAACTTAAACAAACCAAGTATAATACTGTATGGGATCGATTTTGAAAAAAAAAATGGTCAATCAGATCACTATTTTCAATTTGAATTCAATCAAGTCTTCTGTTAATTGTTAATGAAATTAATGACATGATATTTAAGTAAAATACATTTAATTCTCACTAAACATTTGATCATATTCCTAGTTTTAACCCTCTAATAAGATGAAGTGGTTGATAGAAGGTTGGAATCATAATATGAAGACATGTGATGCATCTTATTAGAGGAATAAAATTATGATTAAATTGATAGAAGTTTTTGTTTAATGCTCAAAATAGAATCAATTTCATAATATAATGACTAAAAGGTAATTTAGTCATATTTTTTAAGAGTAAACTATACCGGATACCAACAAACTTTAGGCAATGTATCGTTTATACTATTGAACTTTCAACCTTGTCAATTATAGCACTAGACTTTGATATCCGTTTCAATTATATCACTAAGTCGTTAAATCGTTAATAGTTGAATCAAAATGACATTGTTTGGTGAGGTGTCTACGTCGTTATCCGTTAACCATGTATCGTGCCGTTAATGATTTATGGTTCAATTGTATAATTGAACGAAAATCAAAATTCAATGCTATAATTGACTATTATAAACAATATAAGATTTAAAGTTCGATAGTATCGGATGGAATCTATATTTTTTTTTAAAATGAATCCATGTTTCATGAGTTCGTTTATCATGCGTAAATAAATATCCGACCCTTCTTGTCTTAGTTGTCGATGAGCTTATGCCAACAAAATCCATTGCTTAAAAATATGTATGTATGTATGTATATGGGGACAGTTCCATTGTTAGGTGGTCACTCTTGTCGCCCGCATTGTTTCCCATTGTTAGGTGAAGGACGAGTTTATTGTCTTTGAATCAAAATTTTATGGATGGAAAAAATAGTATTTTTAAATATTTAATTTAACTCGATTTTTATCCTGAAAATAATTTTAAAAAAAAATCAAAATCATGCATGCTTATTTTCCTTTTGTTTCCGGGGCAAAATGATGGAAATGAAAAATAGGTTCAAATGATGATACTAGTAATTCGTAAATGAATTTTGGATGAAGACCGACAATGAGATCGAACCAAACTCAAAAACACGTGTAAACTCCTGGTCTTGTCTCTCGGTCTTGTCATTTTCATCTTCGAATTCCCAAAGAACATTAAAAGTGTTACTCTTAACTATATCTTCTTTGAGAATACTGTAGGATACATACCGTAATGTCCAAAGCCACGGTATTATAGTCAGAGAATTTAAATCCAACGGTTCACGGTCATGCTTATGAGGTCCCTATATACATTTACGTATATAAATCTGGCCTTCTTGTTCTTCTTAACAGCAAGACGACCCATTTTCTCTCCTGAATCTTCCTTCACAAACAAGGAAAATCTCAGCTTTATCTCTTCCATCATAAAGAGAGGAGAAGTGGGAATCCGGGTAATCAGGTCAAGATCAGGGCAAAACCAATGGAGGGTCATAGTTTCCACGTGGCATGGATCCTCTTTGTTTGTTCTCTTCTTGTTCCCTGCCCATTGCTTCTACCTCCCTGGTGTTACCCCAGAAGATTTCAAAAAGGTCAGCTTTTTTTCATACATGCATCCATATCGTTGATGTGTCATCATGATGCATTCTGGATCTTTGGGTTGATTTGGATTTCCAATTCTGTTATTGGGCTTCGGTCAGATCTGTCTTTTATGAATTATGATCGATCCTAATGAATGTGGATGTCTGATAGGTTCCAAAGTTGGTAGTCTTCTGTTGTTTAAAGCTGCCACTTTTGCTTAGAATTTGAAGAACATTTATGAAATCTAGACACGGGCTAAAGATTATTCATGCAGGGTGATCCATTGCATGTGAAAGTGAATAAAAATAGAACGACACATGTCACCTTTAATTGAAAAGAAGATAAATAAATAACGATATGCATTTGAAAGAGTTTGAACAGAGAATCTCGAATACAAATAGAGTGTCAAATCATTGAGTCAACTGCTCTATTTGATTTGGTTATTATACCAAGATGGAACATGAGAAGAGCGCATGGTTATTATACCAAGATGAGGAGTGTCAAACACCCAATCACTCTATTATTCAAGTGCATAGTCTGGTTTGAATTATGAATATGGTGTTGCTTTAAGCTTTGCTTTGATAATTGATGTGCTGCTGCTCTTTGACTGATCTTGATGTACTTATGGAACTTTGGTATTTCATTTTGATTTAGTGAAAAATGCAATTTCGCCCAAAGTAAGCAGGTGGAAGAGGCTAGGGTTGCTTATCGAACGAGCCGATCGCGAGTTGGGCATTGCTCGACTTGTGTTCTTTAAAAAAATTATTGCTCAACTCGACTCGTTACTCGTTAAAACTTTTGCTCGACTTGTGCTCATTAAAACAATTTGTTTCTCGACTCGTGCTGGTTAAAAAAAATTGTTGCTCAACTCGTGTTCGTTAAAAAAACTTGTTGCTCAACTCGTGCTCATTAAGTTTATTGCTCGTTAAGCTCACCAAAATTTTTAACTCATTTTTTTAACTGCAGGTAAAATTTATTAATATTATATAGAGCTTAATATAAATATATATTAATAAATCTAACAAAAAAAATTATCAAAAGAGTGTATAGAATAAATTGAAAGTCTAAACTCCAAAACAATAATCTACAAATCTATTAAATAATAATTAGGATTTGATTTTTGGGTAGTAAAATAATAATTATTAATTATTAATTTAGAATTTAGAATTTTTATTAAAAAAATAATAGATTAGTATTTTATCATCTTTTTATTATTTATTAGTAAATTAATAATTTTTTGAATAAAATAATTTTTTTATGACAACTACTAAAAAATTATAAAAAAATTAACGAGTTGTTCGCGAACTTATCGAATCGGGTTAGAGTTTACTCGACTCAATTCGTTAAGGTCTCGAGACTCATCAAGCACCCTAGACAAGGCTGCAATCTCTTTTGTATTGGATGAATTAAAGAATATGGGCTTTAAAAATCCTGAATTGTCAAATAATATGAGCCTGGAAGATGATAAAAATGAGGGCAGTATGGGAGATCTAGTTGGAAATCAAGAGGTCTCGAGGTGCAATGGAACTTTATCGTGGGAACAAATGGTGAATAAACTGAATAATGACCCAGTTTTATCGTGGGTGAGGTGCTGAGGACTGTTTAATTTTAAATGATAACAGCTGTTAATATCAGCTTCTCAACTCACTCTCAAGCATTCACAATTCACTTACAAAAGTGTTTTCTACAGTTCTCTCTCAGAAGAGCAATACCACCAGCAGTCTACTCCGGTTTCGGGTGTACAGAATTTGGAGCGACCGTGTTAACCTCGGGAGACAGTCCGCCTACTGCAGCGATTACACACATCGGGACGAATTCGTTTCTAAGGCAATAGTTTTTACCACGACACGGTTTACGAATTTATTCTTTTTAATTATTATTTATATTTCTAGTCAGTGCTAAGTTCATATATCCAACACATTCAATAGGTATAACTCATAAAGAAGACTTCCAAAGCGTTTTATGTGAAGAGTGAAGAAGAGTTCCAAAGCGTTTCATGTGAGCAGTCTCTAAACGAGTAACCAACGTCAAACTCCCATCACCAGTTGAGCTTGGCAATATGTATACCTTCCCTTCATGGACTATATTTGCAGGCCTCATGAAAACAGGACCACCCCATCCGAAATCCGCATCGTGGATCGGCAACCACACCCAACTGTTAATACTAAGGTTCGGGCACCGCATTGTTGCCGGTCCTCGCCTCATCGTCCTAACGTCCGCAGTCATTTCGATCGAGTCTATAGCTGACCTCAGATACTCGTCGTCCATTCTATTCACTATTTCATGAATCCTCTTTACGGTATCAATAAACGGTTCGGATTGAAATTCACCCGCTAGGCCATCCAGTGGTGCGTAGAAGATCGCATTGCCGAAGTAACCGGGAGGAAGGGGCGGCCTCAATCGGTTTCGACTGTCGATAGGTATCGTTAACCTGATTTGTTGGTCTAGGGCGAGGTCTCGGGCTTTTATAGCACAACGCCATATGTGTGCGGCCAAGATGCTGTAGGTGCTGTATTTGGTATTAACCGAAGTTCCATTCACTTGGTCTTTTAGGGCCTTAACTTGCTCAGCAGTGATCTTAAAAACGGATACAATTGAAGGTCTGGGAATTGAGGGGTCTGAAATTGTTTTCAAAGGAGGAGATGGTTCGAATTCGACATGATGAACCTTCGGAGACGGAGGGTCCCGAGCTCGAAGAATGGATCGATCCAGGACGGGTGCAATGGTAGGGCACGTGCCTCGAGCCATGTCAGCCCAACTATTGATGAAATGTAATTCGGCAGGGCCATCTGCTACTGTATGCTGAGAAGTAATTCCAATAGAAACTCCTCCACATTTGAAAGTTGTGACCTACATAATGGAACAACACATTCGGGTAGAAATAATTGTGCTAGTTTTTTATGGTTAAATCGAGTTTGGATTCAGATTATTCAAAAGTGAAAGATGAATTTGATGGTACCTGTAAACCTAAAAGCGGATAAGAAGAAATACCACCGGAGTAATCGAACCTTGGAGCAAGCTGAGGAACTTTTGACCCATCACTGAAATCCTGTACAAAATCATCCATGACGGAACTAGTTTCAGCCACGCTGAAGAGCACTCCCTCGGCGTTGCACACTATTTCGAGCCTACCGTTTTGGTCGTAGCCCAACCTGCCGGCGTAGGGGTAAAACGACACCAGAACCTTACTTAAAGCCTCCCTGAGCACTTTGGTATCGAAAAAACCCGAACTACCATTCGACTTGTAGAAATATACAAGAGAAATATGATATGGGATCATCACCAGGTCAATGTTTGACACCCATAAGCTTGTTCTAGGAGTGTCTTGGCATGGAGTTACCATTGTCGTCTCCTTTATACAAACCTCCATTGATATTATGTATGTTGTGCCTGCAAGTAACCAAAGAGCAAATTAATGGATGTATACCTTTAAACGGTTGAAATATTCTTTTCTACGGCACAACTTAATTTCCAGGTTAACCATTAAAGCATAAACATGTACGAACAAGGATGAAATAATAAACAAACAAAGGCCCCGGATGTAAAACAAAACAGAAGAATCCAGCCTCTCCTACACTGCGAACACCTCCAATTGGAAAAGCATGTCCTATTTGCTCAATAATTCAACACATTGATTGAAAATAGGCTCCACCGAATGTCATCTCCACACCTCCTTTTGTCGTATTATAGTGTGAAACCGCTACAAGATTTTATGTCGGGAATTTAAATTTATAAAAATTTAAGAGGATAAAATTAAATTTATAAAATTTTAGGAAGTATAAAAATATTTTTAATATAAAAATATATTTAAAATATATAGTAATTTTATATTTTTGAGGGACGATCCCTCACCCACTCTCACCTAGAATTATCCATACAGTGATAGATACATAAATATTAATAGTAAATTATAACTTAGAAACCTATAATACAATTAATTCTATTTAATATCATATAAAATTTGTCTATTCACCATTCACTAACAACAATAAATGGTTGTTCATTTTTCTCATATGTATGGGGTAAGGGGAAGTAAGATAGTAAGCTGTCTCCAACACCAGGTTAAGAGCAACTTTTGTAAGAGACATTCGAATTATGAAATGCCTTCCGTGGAACTCGATCCCACGACCTCAAAGTTAAGAACCTTATGTTCTACCAACTGAGCTGGATGACTATTTCCATTCACTAACAACAATGATTTTCCTTTTTAAGGTGCACAAATATATTCATGATAATTCATAAATATATCTCCGATAATCTTTATTTAAATAGAATAATTTACACAGTTTATTGGACATTTTTTAAAATTTCTTTGTTTTATGGCAGCGGTGGTGGGCTTCTTCGGCAACCATCCTGTTATTTTTAGTTTTTTTTTAATCGTATCTTCAATAATAATTTCCTTTTTGGCTCTTGTTTTAGTAAAGAATATCATAGCTATCGGTGTTTTAAACTATCGGTGCAAGTTTTTTTATAGGTCTTCTTCTCAGTCTTTTGTTTTTCGATGAATACATATTTGGTTGTTTTCCCGATGTCTGGTTCTTTTGCTCGTTTGTACAAAACGGTTCATTGGTTATCGCATATATGTGCCAGATGTGATTGCTTTTAAGGGGATATAGTTTTTTTCGTTGATCATTTTTTGTTCTTCTTCAAGTTTCTCTCCTCCATGTTTTGATGCATGAAGTTGTTGGTATGTTCAGTTTATATAAGCCGTTGCTTCACTTGTTAATGTTTTTTTATCAGGCTATTACTAAGCGATCATTGTTATATTTTATTTTCGATAGTCTTGATTATATTTATTAAGTCAGTAATTGACAAGACAATTGTTGATACAACTTTCGATAAATAAAATATTCTTGTTATTTAAAAAAAAGAATGATTTAACATAAATTAAATTAATAACCAAAACAAATATCCAAATTTTAAACTAAAATTGTCTCGTCTCGTATAATATCATAATAAACTTTAAATACGTCAATCAGACCACTGATCATTAATTTTTAACGGAGGTACTGACGTGTTAATCAATAAAATTAGTATAATTATACATCTGATCCTTAATACTTATATATTATATCAATTTAGTCATAATTTTAATTTAATTTAAAAATTAATCTTCCAACAAAAAAACAATTTCTAAGTGACACGTGTCACCAATAGAAAACAAATTATAATAAAAATGATGCACTGGGAATTGAACTATAACTGAACATTCAATTGAAAGCACTTAACTATAACTCATAAGGAAGACTTGGGAAGCGTTTGAGGAATAAAGAAGACTGCCGAAGAGTTTCATGTGAGCAGTCTCTAAACGAGTAACCAACGCCAAACTCCCATCACCGGTTGGGCTTGGCAATATGTATACCTTCCCTTCATGGACTATATTTGCAGGCCTCATGAAAACAGAATCCGAAATCCACATCGTGGATCGGCAACAACATCCAACTGTTAATACTATGGTTCGGGCACTGCATTGTTGTCGGTCCTCGTCTCATGGTTTTTACATCCACAGTGATTTCGATCAAGTTGATACTTGACCTCAGATACTCATCGTTCATACTATTTCATGAATCTTCTTTACGGTATCAGTAAACGATTCGGATTGAATAGATCACATTGCCAAAGTAACCGGGAGGAAGGGGCGCCTCAGTCGGTTTCGACTGTCGATCGGTATCATTAACCTGATTTGTTGGTCTTGGGCGAGGTCTCGGGTTTTTATAGCGCAGCGCCATATGTGCGCGGTCAAGATGCTGTAGGTGCTGTATTTGGTATTACCTGAAGTTGCATTCACCCTGTCTTTTAGAGCCTTAACTTGCTCAGCCATGATCTTAAAAAGGGATACAATTGAAGGTCTGGGAATTGTTTTCAAAGGAGGAGATGGTTCGAATTCGACATGATGAAATTTTGGAGCCGGAGGGTCTCGAGCTCGAAGAATGGATCGATCCAGTACCGGTGCAATGGTAGGGCACATGCCTCGAGCCGTGTCAGCCCAACTATTGATGAAAAGAAATGTGGAAGGGCCATCTTCTAAAGTATGGTGAGAAGTAAATCCAGTAGAAACTCCTCCATATTTGAAAGTAGTGACCTACAAATATTCATGTATCATATCATCTCTAAACTGATAGTTTATGTATTAACTAAATGCATAGTTTACCCTAAATATAACGATATAATCTCTAAAAGTACTCGAAGAATTTTAAAAGAATTTATCAAACCCGATGAAATACTCACCCCACTCCAATAACTTGATAACATGATGAATTAATAAGAAGGATGCAATTAGGTATGCCACAAACCCAAAACTTAGGGGAAATTAATAATCTCAACATCAATCTCATGTCAACAAATATTTGTCGAGCCTCAAAACTCAATACTAGAGTTTATAACCTGAATTTTATTTGGATAAACTACATATGTAGTACTAAACTATTAGTTTTGATCCGTTTTAGTACTTAAACTTTCAATTTTTTTCAAAATCATACAAAATGTTTAGTTTTTATTTCATTTTAGTTCTTGCTATTTAAAACTTAACGCGTTTAGTACCTAAATTATCAGTTTTGATCCGTTTTAGTACTTGAATTTTCATTCTTTTTAAAACTTAACGTTAAATTTTATACAGAGTACTAAAATAAAACAAAAACTAAAGATTTTAACAGTAGGGTACTAAAATGAAACAAAAACTAAATTTTAGGTATGATTTTGAAAAATTAAAAGTTTAGGCATTAAAATGAACCAAAACTAATAAGTTTAGTACTAAACTTTCATTTCTAATCTTCATGTGATTTTGCACTCATTGTTATCTTGTCGATTATAGTAATGGTAAGCTAAGAAAAAGAAAAGTAACCCAATGTCATTTACAAAGCTTTCTCATACTCATTTGAGCTTCGGTTTAAGAACCACTTCTACCACTCATTACTCATCAATACTACAATTCTAGCAGTAAGAGGAAGATGCCAAAACCCAAATCAGGTCCAAAGCATCAACATCAATCTAGCTGTAATATGAAGAAGCCAAAATCACACCGCCTAAGCATAACAAGGAAACACCACGAGAAGAAAGAAACGTTAATGAATGATTAAGGCATTGAAAACTCCATGAATGAAATGTGTAGTACCTACAGAAACATTTTGTCCAAATCACAAAAGGCATTTCAGATTTCTTCTTCTACTACTACTACTACTACTTCTTCTTCCATTAACATAACACCAATCAATGCAGTAAGAAACATAACTAGCTTTAATGAAATGAAGACCCAAAAACAGCATACCAAAACCCAAATGCATTGTCCTCTCATATTTGCCTTTTGCCCTTGAATGCAACCCCTTTTTTGTTCCCATATTTGATATCATAATATGGACCAGGATTGATCTAATCTTGAGATTCACTCTTCTTGCCGAATCCTTCACTTTCCCTTTCCTCCAACAATCTCCCAGCTTCCTCATCAGCTTGAGCAGCCTTCTTTTGTGCTTCCTTAGCCTTCAAAGCTTGTAACTTTGAATGATTATAGTAAGCAACACCCAAAAAAGCCAGTCCATACCCAAACAAGTTGATGGGTGTCACGGTATCCTTGATAACCGACCAAGAGAATGCAATCAACAACCAGTCCTTAACAACACAAGCTACATTCATTGTCAAAGCAGAAGTCTTTCCTACGAGTAAGAATACAGCAAGATTCAGAGCAAAAGCACAGAGCGAATTGATCCCGAAAATGACGAAATCGAAATGGAAGCTTGAAGTCTCTTTCAAAACTGGGTACTCAACGAAAATCCATGGAACCATCAAGAAAACCAAACAGCAGGGGGCAACATAATACAGGGAAGTAATCGGATTCAAGGTGATCCCTTTAGAAGCAAGCAGGATTTGGATCATAACCAACCTGGTAGCCTCGAAAGCAACAGCTCCCAGCTGCAAAATCACACCCCATGTATCGAACTTAGCTTCGCCGTAAGCCGCAATGGCGACCCCGAATGAGATCGACAACATGTTGACCATGGTATCCGTCTTGAACCCTTCTTTTTTAAACAGAACGCCGATGGAATACACGGCGACGGGCATCAATGCTTTAAGCATCTGGATAAACGAGACGGACAAGTAAATGTAGGCGGAATTCGAGAGCCAGAGGCTGAGGGAGTAAAGAGCACCGATGGGAACAACCGAAGAAAGGTAAAGCTCTCGGGACATCGAAACGGGGTCGACGACGTTCAAGACTTTGATGAGGATGAAAGCGAGGGAAGCACAAAAGGACATGTGGATCATCGTTAGGGAAATTGGGAAAGGCCAATTGTACATCTTCTTGTCGAGGATGTACTTGTTGTAGACGATGACGGTGAAGCTGAGGAAGATCCAGATTGCTACGTAGGTGTATGAAAAAAGGATCTTCTTCATGATGCCGTCGCTTAAAGGCCCGCCTTTACCCATTGCTTGTTTCGTGGTTCTGCGAGATCTGTAATGAGGGGAAGCGGGAAGAAGAGATCGGAGATCGGAAACGGGGGAGATTGTTTCTCTCTCTGTGCGAGCGATGAATAATAAAGATTTGATTTTTGAATTTTGATCGTACCCAAAGATGTTACCTTTTTAGCTTGGGGTGTTTTGTTCTTTTGTTAATGGAATGAGCCTATGGCTTTCATTTTTCCATAATTTTTTACCATTTCTTTCTAAATTTGTTACGCAAGAACATTTATGAAATGAAAATATTACTACATAGATCTGTCTAAGATTGTCCAAATTTGAAAGGGACTGCTAAAAATATCTAATCCGATAGGCTTGTCCTTTGATTGCCAACCATCCAACCAAGCAGCAAAAACCAAGTAACTAATGCTCATCACTTTACAGCTCTAATTATCTCTCTGCTACAAATGGCCTCTGCTTCATCCTCAGCACCACACTTACCACCCTTTATATCCATACAAAAACCACGTACTTCCCCTCTCTACATACATACATACATACATACAAACATACATACATACTATATATATATATATATATGTGTGTGTGTATATATATATGTAACTGGTATTTACTTTTAACATCTTCTGCGACATGATTGCAGGTACAATATTCAGTTCTATTATTCCTTGCAATCCCGAGGTTTTTCATCACCATGGTTCATTTCAAGATTGTTCCACTGCCAAATTTTCACACTGTAAAAGCCAAGGTCAGAAACACCCTCTCCAAAAATGTACCGACTTCAATTTCAGGTTTGGGTCAGTTTCGGTATTTGTTGTTTCACTTGTTGCTTCTTCTGTTTGCTAATAGGCTACCCCAATTAAGCGAAACACCAAACCAAATAGTGTGATATGTGGTGATCGCGATGGAAATGGTAAGCTAGCTGACTATATTGCAAGGATATCAAATTATGGGAAATTAGATGGATTGAATCCCAAAGTTCAGCATAGTAGAGGGACTAAAACCGTAATTAGACTTATTTCTATGGCAGGTGCTGTCGTTTGCTCTCAGTGCAAAGGTAGTGGAGTGAACGCTGTTGATTTCTTCAATGGAGAATTTAAAGCCGGAGATTCCTGTTGGCTTTGCGGGTAGCAAAATCTAAACCTATATGTTCATGTTTCATCTTTGTGTATTGATCTTTTCTTGTCCATGAAATCACTTGGTATCATTTTGCAGAGGTAAAAAGCAGATGTTATGTGGGAATTGCAATGGCGCTGGCTTCATTGGGGGCTTTATGAGCACTGATGATCAGTAGGATTGCCTTTACCATGATGCATGTATGTATGTATGTATGTATGTATGTATTATCTTATGAATTTGATGCTTGATCAACCCATATCATATCCATTTATTATGGTTCGATGTAGACAAGGCTATCACCATTTATGGCTATTACCATTCTATACATAATGCATTTCAGTTTAATATATTCAGAAGCTAGCAGCATTAACCTGCAAGTTAATTGTTCTTCATGAACTTGCTCATCTGTAGCTGGAGCGACCGAGTTGCCTCCGATTTCAGACGGAACACGTGAACGACACGAGACTCGTTTTTGGTTTCCACGAGTTTCACCATTTTCACTTCTTTCCTTTGCAAAAACTCATCGTACATCACTCCCCTTTCCTTCAAGAAATCCAAGCCGGCTACATAAATCGCCACAGCGCGAAACTCTCTCCATAAGGCATCAGAAACATCTTGTTTCTCAAAGTTACATCCGTAGTAATCGCTGTTCGACCAGTCGGATATGCTTAGCCTCCAAAACATGTCGCTCATTGCCACATAGCCGGCTGCAGCATCTGCCTTCTCTTTCTCGGTCCTTTTTTCACTACCAAAAAAGGGATGTATCAACAATATTCCCCTAATCTTAACACATAAAGTTCCATTCCTCACTGCTTTAATAGCGACCTGATGAACAATGTTCCCACTGGCTCTGCCTCCAGAGAGAAACACACGAGAAAGATCAGCTTGCTTCAACCATGGTTCGTTTGTATCTTGATTGCATAGCCATTCCAGGGAGCTATAACAATCGTCGTAAGCTGTAGGGAGGCGGTTTTTGGGTGCCAAATGGTAGTCAATAGAAAGGATAATGGACTGTGACACAACGGAGAAATCTCCAAGGAAATGGTGGTAGCCGAGCCATGTGGTTGAACCGATACAGAATCCACCACCATGGAAGTAAATCAGAACCGGAAGCAGGGTACAGGGTTCTGGTATATGATCAGAAAGGAAAATCCTCCCCGTTATTTCTTTCAGTGGATCAATGTCACATTCTTAGACTTGAATCCACCACAGGATTCTTCGGAGGTGGGAGCTATTTCGGGTGCAAAGCGTTTCATTGAACTGTCGGAAAAGACCTGGAGGTAACCAGGTGCTTCTGCTACTATAGACAATTTTACTGGAAATGGTGCGTTGCTGATTGAACCATTGGAACTTTAAGAAATTTTTAAGGGGTTTTAAAGGTTAAAAAATCAGACTAACAGAAGATTTTCATGTTAAAAAAATGGGTTCCTAAATGTTAGATCATTCATGTAAAGTGCATTGGATAGAGGATTGAGATTAGATTGGGAAACTAAATGGCAGCTGAGAGGAAATAAATCATCGGAGAGCATCCCGAACTACAAATTCCGACACTCTCACTCACTACAAATTCCGACACTCTCTCACTCACGCATCCTTTGCAGGAAAAGTTGACACCGAAAACTGATATCTCCGACTCGAGAAGAAACTCACCATTTCAGTGCATCACCAAAAGAACACCAACATCCCTCAAGCCTAGCAACCTAGTATTATTATCATGTAGTGGGTAAGGGCACCTACAAGAAATTGTGTAAAATCAATACCACATGTTCTGGTATTTAAAATCGTTTAGGAAAAGGTGTCATACAAGTTCCAACTAGAAATTGGATTTAGGATACAGAGCTTGGTTAGGATCTTGCAGCAGTATATGTTTAAAATACACAAGGTAAAAAAAAGTGGGAACTTATTTGGCTGCCTGTTCTAACACTGTGATCTTCTTCCGATCGTCTAACGCGTGATTTTGCAAAGGCGGCAGTGAGAACATGCTCACGGTTGAGCTTCCACTTCGGATCTCTTTCAAGACGTGTAGTGCTGACAAGGTTTGCTTCATATACATGTTCTCCATATCCTTAATTTCTGCAAGTTCTTTCGGGACTTTGAGTGAGCTTTTGATACTTCTGCTATAAGTATTGGATTGGCATTCTGTCTTGTTGGTTTGCTTCTCAACGGTTGCTTCAGTTGAGGCCAATGGCTCATTCATGGTGAAAAGGCGTTCGAGCACCATCTCACACTCCTTCACAAGCTTGTTAAGAACATCAGTCCTGTAGAAAGGTTGTTGCAAGACCTTTTGAATGAAGGGCAAGCGAACAAGAGCACCACTTCGCTTGTCGTATTTCTTTATTATCTTCACTAGTCCTGCGTACATCATGTAGGTTCAAAAGTTTACACACAACCTAAAAGAACACATAACCAACATAGGCATTTGAATCGAATTGTATGAACTTCAAGCGCTCTGTTTAAACAAAACTTTCTACTTTCAAGTAATATGTTCATAGTTTACAATCAGCATATCAAGCAAAAGGACATGAATCGGGCACGATAGAGAGCTAATATGTCAACCTAGCTAACATTGGCATAGCACGATTATGCTAATTTCTGAGAAGACTGTCAATTCCACAAACATTATTCTCACAATTTGTGAAAAGCATAAGAAAACAATGTTTCGAACGTTTGTTAGTTCTAGCCATGCTTTCGGTCATTCATGAGCAATATCGACTTCTAAGAAAAAGGATTACTACCTGTATAGTTAAGGGCACTGAAATTCTCCAACAGAACCATCTCTCCATGAAAATCCACTATCTCCCTCCCCACTTCTATTAACTCCCCGTCTGATGCTTTGGCCTTTACTGCTCTGTCCTGCAGCTCCTGCAAGTTACAAAGACAAGCAATAAACATGCCGATTCACATTCTTTTTGTAACGAGGCATTTTCTGATGAAGGCTGGCTGTTGTAATCTCTATTTTTGTAACGGGTTTTCTTTGTTAGTGCCAGTGGACATGAAAAATATATATTCTCAAACCACGAAGAAGAGAGTTAAAAACTTTCGAAAGAACACATGCTACATCTCCCAAAGAGCTCAAAACAGCCAAAGGCCGAAATAGTGTGGCCCCAAAGATTCCAAAACATCAATGAACTCCACTGTAAGAGAAACATAAACGATCGGACTCAAAAACGGCATACCAAAGGTACCAAAAAGGATTTGCCTCTCATCCCTTTTTCACACTCATGCAGTTCAGCATTGAATTCTATATATATATATATATAAAGCTCTCTCAATTCAGAATGAAGGAAATAATAACAAAAATAAGGGGGGAAAGATTCACTTTTCACTTCATTAACTTCAATTTTTCAACAAATTCACCATAAAGTACTAAAACAGATGTCTTTCATCCTTTTTCACACTAAAACGTTGAATTCGGCAGAGAATTCTATAAATAAAGCTCAAATTCAGAACGAAGGAAATAATAACAAAAACAAGGGAGGAAAGATTCACTTTTCACTTCATTAACTTAAAATTTTCAACAAATTCACCACTAAATTCACCATAAAATACTAAAACAGACATGTCTTTCACCCTTTTTTTCACATTAAAACATGCAATTCAGCAGAGAATTCTATAAATAAAGCTCTCTGAATTCAGAATGAAGAAAATAATAACAAAAACAAGAGGGAAGAGATTCCTTTTTCACTTCATTAACTTAAAATTTTCAACAAATTCACCACTAAATTCACCATAAAGTACTAAAACACATGTTTCATCCTTTTTTTCACATTAAAACATGCAATTCAGCAGAGAATTCTATAAATAAAGCTCTCTGAATTCAGAATGAAGAAAATAATAACAAAAACAAGAGGGAAGAGATTCCTTTTTCACTTCATTAACTTCAAATTTTCAACAAACCCATCACTAAATTCACCACAAAGTACCAAAACAGATGTCTTCCATCCTTTTTTTTTCACACTAAAACAGGCACTTCAGCAGAGAATTCTACAAATAAAGCTCTCTGAATTCAGAATAGGGAAAGATCCAATTTTTAACTTCACCTCAAAATTCAACAAACCATCACTGAATCCACCACAATGTTTCAACATAATCATCTATAAACATCATATCAATGAAAAACACAAAACCATGTCGTTGACCAACAATTTAATCCCATAATAACTCATGAAATTTTTCAAAAATGGAAACTTTTGCACATAAAAGATTAAATTTTAGAAACTTACCCTCCATTTGATAACATAATCCTCTTCTTTTTCAACAAAAAAGGCATTAAATTTCTCAACCTCAGCTTCCAACAGAAAAACGAAATCCATCACCTCCTTGGCAACCTCGCCCTCCTCCTCCTTAAAAGTTGAATCCAATCTGGGACGTTTATTAGGCTGCTTGTCGTTTCCATCCTTGGGGTAAATCAACTTCAGCTGCTTCTTCAAATCCTTGTACGGCAAAAACTTATCCCTCCAATCAGGCAAAGCTTCTTCGATCAATATGCTTAAGCTCTTGCAAAACTTCATGCTCTTCCACTCACCTGATCAAAGATCAAAAGCACACCCTTTTCTTTTTTCCTTGTATATGAGTAAATTCTGGTGAGCGGTGGTACCCTTTTCAATTCAATTACATGATCGAAGAGATAAAGGCACTAACAAAGAATGAGACTTGCAATAAATTGAGGTGAACCAAAAATGAGAAAACATTTCATAAGGTAAATAGTAAAATTTAATTTATGATTCGATCATTGATTTTAACATATAACTATTTAAAAAATATACAAGTTGAGCTAAATTTCGGGAAGACTATATCAGTGTGTCGAAGATGCGTACGATGAAGATATCTATTAATCTACCGAGCTCAAATTGAATTACTGACATCAGAGTAGCAGAAACCTGATGGTGCGGACAGAGTAGTAATGCTGAGCTTTGAATGGATTGCAGCTGATTAAGGTGCTAGAGCAAAAGAAAGAAGCCGGTGAATGTGAAATGTCGACTTTGTTAAGCCTACATGATCGAATATGATCGGCATTCAACTGTTTTTCCGGTAGATTTCGCTGGATCAGACTTCTAGGTGGCAAGGTCACTCTGTCATTGTTGAGAGAGAAGCTTTAATGTCGATTTCTAGGCATATATGGTCCAATGCAAGGCCGGTAAATTTGTTGTCTTTACATGAGAAGAAATCCTTTGTTAATTGGTCCTTGCAGGCTATTCACAACGTTCTTCCCCATGCTAATATGGACAATCTGGTGGTGACCTAGATTCAAAACTTACCATATTCAAAAGTATAGAAACGGTAAAGCATTTAATGTTTTGAGCCCTTTGAAGTTGAAGCTTAGCCTTTACATTTATGAAAACTAAGCTATGAGCCATAAATATGGCCTACTCACTCCTTACCTGTTGTGGCCTTGATTCCCTTGAAATAGAGGAAGTCCTATGAACATGAACTTTACCTATTCAAGTCACTTTTTTGTATCCTCTCGATTCTAAGATTTTTCTTTAACTAATCCGGACCGACCTATATTGCACACCTAATTTTGATAAACAAATCTCCCATCATATATTTTTTACATATACAAAACCCCTATTCAAAAAAAATATAGTGTTTAATTATAACGAAACGGACATGAATTCTTTTGTTAATGTCATCAAATAACCTCAAGGCAAAAACTACATACGTTAATAAGCATGAGGACTATAAAAACTTTTAAAAGGAGGGACTAAAACAATAATGACCCAATTGGAGATATATACTATATGCTTGACAATTTTGACTTCCAAGTCCAAAACCTTTTTAACAACTACTAGAAGTAATTGAAGTTGTCTCCTATGAGAAGAGCTAGAGGTCCTTTGATAGGCCATGTTTGAACAGGTCAACAACACAAAAGTAAGCTATTTTACCCACCCCTTATGCTTTTGGAGTTTTCCCCTCGGCCTCAGCTATTTGTCCACTTGTCCCATCTTGTCATTAATGTGACAACAAGATACTTCAACTTCATGTTCAAGAAATGTTTAAAATAATAATCTATCATAAAATTTTTATCCACAGATTCAACCATTAAAATTAAATGAATAATTTAAATTTATTTAAATTAATCAGGGTGAAGTCTCTTAATGGAAGGACAAAAAAATTTAATCTAATATAAAAAATGTAAGATCAACTTAGTAGTATTATGAATAGTTAAAATTTGTGATGTGAATTTTATTCGACTCATCTAATGAAAAATATATTGAAAAACAAAAATTTTTAGTAGATGAGAAAATTCTCTTGATATAATTTTATTCTACTAGAATTAGTGTATATATATATATATTCTTATTATTTATTGTTAAATAGTGAAATTTTTCTCTTTTGTGCATACCTTCTATAAAAAAAATTATCTAAATTTATGTGATTTCATTTTTTTTTTTTTTTTATGATCGTTTACACCATATTATCCATGACATAGATCAACTAAATTATGAAAAAAAATATTTTTTGAAAGAAAACGGATCTCGTTAGAAACCTTTTCTAAGACCTATAAGAGAAAAATAGTGACCTAAGACATTGTATTACCATAAGAAGAATTATTGTATACAACGGATGTAATAATCTCAGAATAAATCGAGTCAAAATACAAGACTTTTCTAAAATGAGAAGCCCATTTAACCAAAGTATGTGTTGCAATATTACAAACTCTAAGAACAAAACACACTTTGTAATGCAAATTAACGTCTAAAATCCAACCAACTTTTCACAAATAATAACTCAACGATAATAAATCTTCCTCCGATCGAGATATTTTGTTGACTACACGTACATAAAATCAATTCATGATATAAATACGAGAAGTTATTGAGGCCCCGGTTGGTAGCAAAGTAATGGCTAATGGGCAAATGATCCACGTCTAGCTTTGAGGTCATCTCATAGATAAATTTCTCTAGAAGTGTGAAGTTCGTAACCTTTTTTAAGATCGATATTTTTCAAAAGGAATTTGAATTTTACGTAATACTTCATCAACTAATTAAATTGTTGATATAGAATATATATAAATTAAATTAAATACGGTATTAAATTGAAAATCTAATCCATCCATTAGTTTTATCAAAAATTTTAAAAAAAATTGAATTACAATGAAAGTTTACGACTACAATCACAAACTAAATACGTAATACTTTTTTTTTCCTAAACTTGAGAAAACTAGCTACTTACGGTTACAATGACCATATAGGAAAATGTTAAAAATCTAACCAAATAAACTCGGATAAAAAGTTGATACGAACAAATCTAATCGCATCGACAAACGAATCACGAAATGAGATAAAACTATTGAAAGGCCACAAAAAATCACAAATCAGAATTGAGCAATGTGAAAATATTATTCATGAACGAAAATCGTGTATCCAAATCCAGTATGAGGGTACAAAGCATGAAAAAATCAACATTGTAACAAGCGTCATCTTAATCAATAGTGACGATGTCAAATTCAATCCTAAAAAATGAAAAAAAACAAGAATAACGATCAAATACATGTTATGAAAGCAAAGATAAAATATGCCATAAAGTTAGAAAAATATATACGATAAAAATATGATTATTAAAAATAATAAATACCCATAATAGACGACCAACACGGACACCTACAATAGTATATGCCGGCCAAGGCAATGGGTCCGTTCCCATTACTACAATAGTACACGTCGATAGATCGATCCACAGCGAACAAATGAATCGACAAACCATCAATCATCATCACTTATTTAATTTTTTGGGACAGAATCGATGTTCATCGCTTTCAACAAAGGCATCAACACATGCTTAAAAGCAATGCACCTAATTTAACCAATAGGTTGGAACCCTAACGTCACAAGATACCTCATCCTCATGCACGGACCGCATTTAACTCGTATCCAACTGCTCTGAGATTGAGAGCTGCCCCTCTCTTCCTTCTTATATATATTTGTTTTGGCACGAACCAATTTAATTCAGTGACTAAATGATCGTTGTTATTCCTAGAAGTCACGAGTTCGAATATTCGTGACTGCACCAGGATGATTGAAGGTTTATTGTCAAATGATTTAGAGTATTTAGAATAGATGTTACTTTATCAAATCATCAAGTGATCCTAATGGTTGAAGGAAGTATTATTTTCTCGTAAGGCCAATCGCGTAACTCATACACTTGCTCGATGGGCTCTTCGTTCCGAAGGTGCTTTAATGTTTTTCGGCTCAGTCTTTATCGAGCTCATTGTTAAAGATATAAACACGGATACGGTTCCAATGTAATTAATGAATGTTTGGGTACTCTTTTTTCTTTGTAGGATTCCAACATTGTGTTGATAGAAGGAATTTTCAAAGAGGCCCGTTATTTAAAAAAAAAAATTTGTTGTTTCCCCATAGATACGAGTTCAAGTAGATGTGTTTGTGCGTCGGTTTATCTCTAGTTTTTAAAATATATTAAAATTTAAAATTTTTAAAACACAATCACTTTCAACTCTCCATCGGTCTATCTTTGGTCTTTAATTTGACCCCATGGGGAAAAGTTGTTAGTAAATAGGTTAGATTGTTTCATTGGTGAGAATATGGATGTCGTTGTCTTCATATGTGGTTAGTTGTCTTCATACCATTGGCTACAGAAATTTTGAAGTAGTTAGGGTTTTCAATGCCGACGTCTCTCATAGGCTCTAATCACATCTTTATATATATATTTCCACATTTAAAATCGTATTATCTTTAAATAGAAAGTGTGTTTCGTTTTCATCATGCCATTTTCTTATTCTTTCTTCTAGATTCATCAAATTATTGTATACAATAACTTAAACAAACATGATCAAAAATAATAAAAAATAATAAAAAATTTATATAAAAAATTCTAGAAAATTAGGAAAAAAAGCACTATAATATTATAATTACAAGGGTTTGAAGATATAAAGCTTTACACAAATTATAGGATTATTCTTTGTCGAGTTATTTTTATTAGGTTAAGGTTATTACAAATATAATATTCTTTTATATGAATCTGTATTTTCAATCAAAAGTTAACGGAATAAATATAATATTGCATGAAATTAAGCTTAATACAAAAATAAGTGGTCAAATTGTACTACTTTTCTCAAATAGGTGCTTAAACTATTTTTCGACTCATCCAGGCGTCTCACGTTGCAAACGTTACCCATTTAGGTGCTCAAGTCGTCGACGGTGTTAATTTTCCCCGTTAAGTGACATGTGTCATAATCTGGTGATTTTAAATTTTTTTTAAATATTATTTTTTTATAAAAAAACCCTAATTTCTCTTAAATTATAAAATAGCACCCAGATCCCTAAAATCCCCAAATCCTAACCTCAACCCGCCGCCACCCTTTTCGGCCACGACAACCTTCGTCGACGTAGTCCATGCCATCCTCCTAGTCATATGCCGTCGTATTTGTCACCGGTTGGCCTTCGTAATCGTGTGGGACCGTGATTTTCAACCTAGGGTTCACGGGGTATAAAACTTCGATTCGTCTTCAATCAACCATCGATCAGTCATGATTTCATAGGGGTTTTGGTCGTCGGGGGGGAGGGGAGGTCGGGTGAAGCTTCGTTTACGGAAAAAGGCGGCGGTTGGTGTAGATTTAGGGGTTGAAATAAAGGTTTTCAAAGTTTCAGGTTTATTTAAAAATGTGTTTTTTAAATATATATATTAATTTTAAATAAAATTTTTAAATTTACCAGATTGTCACCTAACGAGTAAATTAACACCGTCGACGGTCCGAACATCTTAATGAGTAACGTTTATAACGTTAGATACCTATTTAAAAAAAATAGTATAGTTTGGACACTTATTTTGGTATTAAGCCCACGAAATTACATACAAATCACATCATAATTTAAAACGCAAAACTCGATAAATATTTTTTTCTGTGCCTTTCACAATCTTTTCGATTCGTTTTCTAGTGTTGGGAGACAGAATTTGGGTTGCCATGTTTGTATATAGGATAGGGAAATTGGAGGGACTTCATATAATGACTCTTAAAGCATCGTTCTCATGTTCTATAATGGAAAGAGAGGCACAATCACGAAAAGAAATCTCAATTAATCAGATTTATTACTCATTGTGCAGTAGCTTTCAAAAACATCCCATCCAATAATTTAATTTTATGCTATAACTCTTTATCTTACAATAATCAAAATTTTCGTATTAATTTAACGTAATTAATTCGTACAATCATTTAAATATTAATTTTGAATCTTTTAAATTAAGATATGAATATTGATTCCTCTCGTGTTGATGACGCAAAGGGGAAAAAAGTTTGGATTGGACTTGAGGGACCATGTTGTTAAATATACACGACAAATGGGGGACATAGAATGAGCTTGACTTCACATGTAATTTATTTTAAATTGGACCAGACTATACAGTAGAGGGACTAAAACAAGAATTAGACCATATAATAGAGGTTGGATTAGGGTTGTATGGTTAAGCAGATGTATAGGTGCTGATCTTCATATAGTAAAATTTCACAATTACCGAGTAAGATACTGCATACAGCACCAGTTTTTTTACATGCGGAGATGAAAGATATGAATGGTTCTTTTTTTTTTTACCTTGAAAGGGTGAAAATGCAAAAGACTGGAGTAACTTTTTTCCCCCATAATTTACAAGCTATTCCAAGGATATATGACTTTGGCTATAACACTTATTAAACTCCACTAGGAGAATTCCAGTTGAGTAATTCTTCTATCATCTGCAACGCAATCCTATCTTCCTCTCCCATTAGGCTTCCACCTTCGATCTCTTCGGCCATGTTCGAAGACGACGACGACCCCGACGACAGTGCCGTCCCGTCTTCCGACACCGGCGTATTAACCTTCTTGTTGTTATTATTACCCCCGAGCTCCACCCTCATGACCCAATTCGAACTCGATCGATTCCCGGCACGTTTCTGCCACACCCCGATATGACCATTATCGGTATCGAGCCTAAGGCAAGTAAGAGAAGGAGATTGATCTTTGCAGCACTTTTTGAGCTTAGCATTCAAAAGCTCAGATAGTGCGTTGGGAGGCAATGGAGACTCATCATCATCACCAACATTTGTGTCACCACCACCACCATCAAGTTGTGGTTTGGGGAAATTGGTCTTTGCATTTTGCCCGTTCATCAAGATCGCAGCTTGGTCGTACGCTCTCGCAGCCGCCTCGGCCGTCTCGAATGTCCCGAGCCACACCCTCCTCTTCCTGCAAACATCTAAAACACTTTACAAAAAAAAAGAACACACAGAGACAGACATAACACGTATATACACGCATGTAGCGTAATAAATGTCGTTGATTAATAAATATTACAGTAAAGGGTGGCGAATTTCTGAAACCCAAGAGCCCCACTGACGCTGCCGGACACCTCTGAACTTCTTTGATTGTACCATGTTATTTGATTTTTTTTTTGTGGGGGGGGATAGAAAGACTTGTTAAAGAGAAGTGTGCAGAGATATCATAAATATGGAAGTGGTGAGGTTTGAAATGTGGTGTTTTGCCGTGTGAGAAAGACAAATTATATATGAGTTGTCTCCCCTAGTAATAACTACTTTGCAATTATGATTTTCAACTACTTACACCATGAACGAACTAGGTTCGTGGCCACAAAGAAAGAACAAGAAAATTAATAATAATGTTTTTGACAATCCCCTTTCACAATGCCAGTATGTACAATAATGTTCACTAGCTAGCTCGTCCGACTTATTCGACTTTCGAAGAAGAAAACAGGGTTTACTGTACCAAATATGCTCGAATTATGAGCTCAAAACATGATATAAAACGTATTTAAAATAGTGAACGGCATAATTTTTTTTCATTGAAAAAAAAATCGTTATTTAGGTGTGTTATGGCACGGGAATTTTCAACTTTTGAGTTGGCATTTTGAACAAGAATCTAATACGGGGTAGTTGGTTATTGAGCCGACTTTGTGATTCGGCCCAGAAAAAAGTTGTATCTCTTTAATGGCAGAGCTTGAAACAACACTAGCCTTGCTGCTATTGTGTTGTCTCATTGGCTGCATTTTACTTTTACAGCCGGCAGCAGTAAAGCCAAAGCTTGATGCATTGAATGATAAAAACTTTGGCCAAAAAAATCGACTAATTAAGAATTATCAATGTATAATTTGAAAAACGAGCGTTCTTAATCATATAATTGACATCTAATGTCGATCAATACTCGTATTTCTTTCACGATAAATATATTGCACGTACACAATCTATGTTTTGGTGTTATCATACTCATAGGACACAAGACTCTCCAATGATTTTGGTAAAAATTTGTGTTTTTAAGTACATAAACTACAATGATATTAATATATTATTAATATAAAAGAAGATATGAGATAGAATTAGGGATGGCAAACGGGCGGGACGGTGCGGATACTTTTTTTTCTCATCCTCATACCCACCTAATAATTTGTATCCATCAGCTACTCACCACTCACGATGGATAATTTTTTTTAAATCTACACCCGCTCATGTAGGTATATTCTCAAATCCACCCCACACCCATTACCCAATTGGTTACCCACCATCCATTTCGTACCCGCATGTATTCGTCGATATCCAACTGACTGCAACCTCTCAAATTATATAAGTCACGGTCTTCAATTCTAAAAATATTTATACCGTAACATTTGGTTAAAATACAAGTCATGTCTTATAAAAATTTAAAATTTACAAAATAGTTTCTAAAATTATACCTAAATTCATAATAATCCAAAATTTACATGGTGGGTGAGCAAGCGGATGCGGGGCAAGTAAGGTCTCAAACTCATCACTTATTTTGCCCACGGTAGATATGACTTTTTACATCCACACCCGCCCACTACCCACTAGACTTATACCCATCCCAGCCTCAAATAGAATGAGTGCGGTGCGAGATTCACGAAATTATACCCGTTTGCCATCTCTCGATAGAACATGTCTAAACATTTAATATTTTTTTATGTATGAATGGAAAATAATTTAAATAATTTATGCACTCTATCCTATTCTTTAAAAAAATTATGAAAAGTATGATTTTCCAACTTAAAAATGAGTGTTTTAAAATTTATTTCAAGAATATTGAATTATTATAGGTCGTAATTACCATTAATTACCATCAACCCTACTGTCCATATGTAGGGTCTATAGAATTCTCATTGGTGGGGAAATGGCTTGCAATATAATTTTACCTTATTAAAGATAGCTTATTCAATGTGAATAATGAAAGAAATTCTAAAGTTATTCCATCATGAACTTAAATTTTAGTTAAAATAATTCATTAGTTATTTTATAAATTAAAATTTAATCTTAATCGTTTATAATTTTTTTAGTAATTTGATACAATATGGCTAAGCTTATATCCACTAACCAAACTAAATTTAATTCACGTACGAACTAATCGACCTTGGTGGTAAAGAAATTATTTTTATTCTTTCAGGTCTCGGGTTTGAGCACCAGGAATGTCAGGGGTGTGAACGTTCAATTTCAAATGGTTGAGTGTTATCTTCGAACAAATATTATCTTGTATTTACCTCATATTAAAAAAAATCTAAATTCAATTCACATTATATTCATAACTTTTAATCTCAAGAAAAGTTGTTCAAGTATGCTTATATTATGGAGAGCAAAACCAATTTCCTTTTATCCCATGGTTTTCAGAACCAGACCGGTTAGCGAACCGGTCATGCTACCGGTTCACTGGTTCAATCGGTCGAATCGGTCCGACCGGTCAGAAGAACCGGACGACGTCATAATTATTTAAAAAATTAAATAAAAATACCAAAAATATTAATAAAATAATTTTTTATATCAAGTCATATTCAAAGCAAGTCATAACATATAAGTTAAAATCATAAAATCAAGTGAAACAATGATTCATATTAACTACAACATAATATTTAAGGTAAAACATATAATAATAATATAATTATATAACTATAATTAAAAAATAAATTTGGGGTTAAAAAATCATAACAAAATTATATAACTATAATTATATAACTATTCTTTCACTTCAATCAAGCTCGAATTTTAGGCTTCAATCAAGCTTCTAATTTTTTTTTAGTTCAAGCCTTTTTAAGTTCAAGTTTCAATATTATATTTCGAGTTTGAGTTGAACTTGATAATTTTAGCTTGTGTTTTGAGTTTAGCTTACTTTTAAAGTTTTCAAGTTTGAGTCGAGCTCAGCAATACTCGAGTTCGACTTGGCTAGTTAACAAACGACGTTGTTTGGTTTAATTTAAAAAAAAAAAAAAAAAATCCCGATTTTTCCCGGTTTTTCCCGGTTTTCAGCCGGTCCGGTTCGAATGGTTCAGCGGTTTTGGCCGGTTCACTAATAACGGTTCAACCGGTTTAGATTGAACCGGACTAAGCAACGGTTCCCGGTTAAACCGGTCGGTCCGGTCCGATTTTCAAAATAGAGTTTTATCCCAAAACTTTGAATTACGGTTTAGGTCTTTTATAGGGTTAATTCTAATAGTCATCCTTAAACTATGGTTTTTTTTAATCTAAATTAGTTTCTAAATTTTAAAACATTATAATTGTATCCTCAAAATATCAATTAAGTCTTTCCCTTAATCTAACCCCTAGTTTAAACGTCAAATGCTTTCTCAAATCTGACGTGGATGTATGGACCAAATCAGGGACGGATGTACATAGGAACTTGGGGCCCTTGTCCCCCCCCCCAATTTTTATCATTAAGAATACTGAGACAATTACCTTTTTAGGCTTTTAAATTTTGATTTATTTTGATTTTTTCTTCCATATTCTACTGTTAATTATACTTTTGTCCCTTGAACTAATTTTTTTTTGACTTCGTCCCTGGATCAAATTTCATACAGTGTCTATTTTTCAAGTTAAGTCTGAACCATGGCCAAAGGCAAAAAAGAACCGTTTTAAAGAGTATAAATTTTTGAGGTAAAGTGTAATTTTTTTAAAGTCACAATTTTGCAGGGACCTAGCTTAAATTTTACGTTTTTGAATATGCTCTGCATTATCAAATTATCTTCTGAAATAATTGCTCGAATAATGGTAAGTTGTAATTATTTTCTGAAATAGGGTATTTGATACAATACAATTTGAGGGAGACGCATGGAGTGCAATGCGTCTCTCAATATTTATTTATTTTTTTCTTATTTATTTTTCTAATAATAGTCCAAATTAAATCCAACCCCTAAACTTTAAATCCTAATCCTTAAATCCTAATCCTTAAAATCCTAATATCTAACACCTAAATCACACCTAAACCTTAAACTATAATCCCTAAATCCTAAACTCTGACTTCTAAATCATACATAACTCCTAAACCTTAAACTCTTACCCTTAAATCTTAAATATAAACCTTAAACCTTAAATCCAAAAAAAACCAATATATATATATAACATGGAGACGTTTTGCACTCCACGTCCCAATTTATATTCGAGTATTATTGTACGTCTTAAACTATACTATATCAAAAATAATTTAAACAAGACATGGAAAATTTGACATGAACACGATTACCCGAACCGATTTACCTAACCTAATACACGATATTAACTCAAACATTATAATCAAATTTGATCCAATACTCGATCCAAAATTTAGCTAAACTGAAATCAACCAAAACAGAAATTAACCTGAACTTAAAGCAATCCGAATTGAAATTAACCCGAACCAAAAGAAACTCGATCTTAAAGCAACCCGAACTAAATTTAACCTGACCCGAAAACAACCCAAACATATTTAAATTGATAAAAGTTATTAAACAATAAAAATTATTTTCAATAATAATTTAATTTAAATAAAATTGATAATTTATTAAAAATATTAGATTTATAATAAAATAATAGAAAGTTTAAGAGGAATATAAAAGTAAGAATCTAAGGTTGAAAACAGTAATAAATAAATTTTACTTATCATACTTGTTATAAAAATATTAGATTTATAATAAAAATAATAAAAAACAACTAAAACAAAGGAAATAACATTAGATTTATAATGAAAATAGTATAAAGTATTAACAAATAAAGTTATGTATTATTTTTTAAAATTTAATAAAAATATTAAATTTATAATTGGAAATAAACTTTTTAATAAAAAAATTATTTCTTTATCAAATAGTTCTCATTAAAAACTTTTCATCCGAGATCAATATAAAATTTTGATTATAAATTCTAACATGTATTATAGGATCGTATTTGTGTCTAATTATCAATTTATCATCTCTAAATTATGATTTAATTTAAAATATTAAACGATTGAGAGTTGAAATTAAACATAAATGATAAAACTAACAAATAAGAAGACATATTTTTACAAGTATATATAAATTATTCTATATATACTTGATTTTGATCAGACTCATAACCAATTCAACCCGAATTGACTAGATTTAAAGGTCGACCTAAATCGGAAATCAGCTAATATGATATTGATCCGACCCGATATTAACCCGATCAAAAAATCAATTGATTTAATATTGATCCGAACCAGAAAACAACCGATCCAATAATATCCTACCCGAAAATTGACCCGATCTGATTCACCGTA